AGTTTTGATCACCACACTATAAAAAAGATGTTGAGACTCTAGAAAGAGTGCAGAAAAGAGCAACAAGGATGATTAGCGGACTGGAGGCTAAAACATATGAAGAATGGTTACAGGAACTGGGCATGGCTACTCTAGTGAAGAGAAGGATCAGGGGAGACATGATAGTAGTCTTCCAATATTTGAGGGGCTGCGACAGAGAGGTGGGGGTCAAGCTATTTTCCAAAGAACCTGAAGGCAGAGCAAGAAACAATAGATGGGAATTGATCAAGGAGAGATTCAATCTGGAAATAAGGAAAAATTTTCTGATAGTAAGAACAATCAACCAATGGAACAGATGTTGCCTTCGAAAATTGTGGGAGCTTCACCATTGAGACTTTCAAGAAGAGATTGGACTGCCGCTTGTCAGAAATGGTGTAGGGTCTCCTGCTTGAGTGGGGGGGGGGTTGGACTAGATGACCTATAAGGTCCCTTCCAACTCTGTTAATCTGTTAAACTGCACTTGAGTCACCAAAATGAGACTCAAGAAGAGGCTTGGAAAATAACACGTTTATTTTGTATAAAGAAGAGCTGTGGTGAACTTATTTCATATGCATATAGACAACAAACATGCAAAGAGAAAAGCCACCTCAACACCTGTGAGTGTTGCCCCAAAATCTTATTCCCATTTTTAACCAATCAGGGACAAAGTTCGTTACCCAACGTGGGCATCTTCAAAACAGGCCCTGTCTCTGCCCGCTTTATCTATGGAACATCCTTCATCTTACACAGCATTCTTTGCAGCCCTGCGTGTTTCGTGCTCTTCTTATCTATTTGATGGGAATTCTTGGGCAGACTTGCTCTGCCCCCCCCCATCCTTCTTTCTATTTTTTTTCTCCAAGGATATGCCTAGATTTTAAGCGAATAACAGAAGCAAGACACCAGATAACTGGTTTCAAAAAAGATACAGTTCTTAGCAAGCGAGGTTTATAGAATTAATTCCTAACAAATAATTCCTAAACTGTAGCAAGATAGCACAAGGAATTTTTAACAAGAGCAAACAGCAAAGGTTAGATTGATTCGTGTCACTATGTCCCCACATTATTATGCCCTTGATAGAAGAAGGTGAGCTTTGTTTTGTAGAAAGTTAGCACTCCCCGCCCCCTCTCCTAGAAAAATGAAATATCCTAGGAAACATTGAAAAGGATGAATATTACATTTCCCTGAATCAGAAATGGAGAAACATGTTTTTAGCCAGGAAACAGACTCACTATTAATAGCCCTCACTATTCTTAATGAGGCATTAAGATGCCCAAGCCTGTCTATTCTTCATAATAAAGGTCTCCTCACCCCCCCACCCCCACTCCCTTCAGCTCCAGAGTGATGGGATTAAGGCTATGGTTAAACCTAGTTTAATGAAACTAGGACTAGGGAAGACATGATAGCAGTGTTCCAATATCTCAGGCGTTGCCACAGAGAAGACTATTTTCCAAGGCAGCTGAGGGTAGAACAAGAAGCAACGGGTGGAAACTAATTAAGGAGAGAAGCAACTTAGAACTGAGGAGAAATTTCCTGACAATTAGAACAATTAATCAGTGGAACAGAAATTGCCTCCAGAAGTTGTGAATGCCCCAACACTGGAAGTCTTTAAGAAGATGTTGGATAGCCATTTGTCTGAAACGGTATAGGGTTTCCTGCCTAGGCAGGGGGTTGGACTAGAAGACCTCCCTTCCAACTCTGCTATTGTATTGTAAGGCATGATAGTATTACCCCTTTACCCCACTCACCACATGGTATCTGGAAACTCAAACTTGGACTCAAAGCACAGCCTAGAGAGTTGCTCCTGCATGGCTCCAGGGGAGTCTGACAACCAATCAGAATACATCTTCTTACACAGGAGCAGGAAACA